TGCAGTGTGTTATAGGTAAAGGGGGGAGAGGCATTATTTACTGTGCTATATACTTCCACAAAGGTAGAAACGAAGATGAACTGGAACTGTTCAATTTCGAATTCAATGATGTGTTCCAGAAGAATGAGAAATAGTCGATGAGAATTGCTCGTCGTTTAGTTGACCGGTAGATGAGAAAGCTGCGAGAACTTTGTTGCTTGTTTCCACGACCTTGTTGCAAATTTTTACATATCATGTGATTGAAAGATGGGATGAGTAGTCAGCTAGTACCGCTATCTAGGTTCAACCTTGCTTTGTTTGAGTTTTGCTCATTCATTTTCAAATGTATCAAATTTGTCAACATATTTCTTAACAAGAATGAGTCAGTGGATAACACTGTATGTAGCTCGTCACTGTTATTAATAGCAAACTATTTTGGTAGACAATTCTCGTGACCACTAACATAGGAGTGATATTGTTGTTTCATTCACGCACAATTTACAAGTTTTTCCAAAAAATTATTGATAGCATTTGTAATCCGAGGAAGTGGCAGGCTTCTGGGATCAAATTGCGAGAGTTATAAAAGTGGGTTTAATGATATTAATTTAGGATGGCATCCGGAAATATCGCAGGAGATAGTGACATAGAGCATAATTTCGAGACCAGCGATCGAGATGGTCAGGATGCCACGCAAGATTCGCTAACAGAAGAAGCGAAGTCCTTTCTCAATGCTCGTAAACCGATTCGGGTATTTCCTACGGATCAAGTAAAATCAGTGTTCCAATTTTGCTTTTCTGATGAGATCTCAGTCTTTCAGGTCGACATTTCGCAGAAAGAGCAATTGGATTGTCGAAGTAGCGCTTTAACTCCCAATACAGTTAAACATACAAGGTTATGTATATTGCCCGAAATTTGACTTAAATAATAGTAGTTCCAGTTTACGATGGAAAATTTTTCAATTTTTCAGAAATGTTTCATCAGATGCAACACCTGTCGCAGCAGCTTTTAGTGAAGGTTGATTTATAATTATGTTTTCTTTGCCTTCAAGGGGATGTTGATGAATTTCTAGTTTCATTCAAAATAATTCTTAAATATCGCCTAAAAAAAACGCTGAAAAAATTTAGGCGCGTTATCGTTTCCGCATCGCCGTACGTATCTGAATATTGCTGAAACGAAAGAGGAAAACAAACAGCTTAAGGCGGAAGTATTTGACTTGAAATCACAGTTGTTTATGCTGAAAAGAAAGTTACCTTCAATACTGAACAATGAAGGGAAGGATTTCAGTCTAGAAGTAAATCATGTTGATTTTCCACTCATTCCCAATTTATTTGTTCGTTGTTTGGAAGGAACAGTGAAAAACGAAAAAGGTTGCTTATCAAAATCGCATTGAAAGCTGTTGGTACTATCTGTGTTAAAATTTTTTTTTTTAAGCGCATTTGACATTCAAACATCTTGGAATGCCGAAAATTCTGTCCACAAAATTTTCCTTGTTCTTCCAACATTCTTCTTTCTAGTATGTGATGATGCAGACGGAACTAGATAATGAGAAAGTTCGGCGAGCAGAAATGGAACAAATGTGGCATTTACAAAAAAAAAACTCGATGAAGAAAGATCGAAATTCGAAAACGAAAGAAATGATTGGGAGAAAAAACGCGAAAGGCTACTTATGGATAGAGATGAACTTGCATCCGAATTGAAAGAGGTCGCTGCAATTGCTTTTTCTTCAGAATTGTTTGAGTCTTAATTCTATAGTTTCCTTTTTTTTTGAGATTGAGATCTGCTGCAAAAGTATATTACTGATTTTTTATTTGGATTTGTTTGAATTTCTCGGTTTTTAGCTCCGCCAGCAGTTATCTGAAAGACATGGTGAACGTGATGATGGTAACGAAAGTCAGGGCGACAGTTCTTTGAGCACTATCTCACTGATATCAGAGAGAGGCATGTAAGTTTGAAAACTAAAGTAGCCTTATTATTTATTGCCTTATCGATCAATAAAACCAATTGTTATTCATTTCGCCCTTTTTTTTTAAACCATTTCATCATTTAGAAAGAAGGTTCCATTTTCTTGACTAATTATTCCAAATTTTGCGCAGGGAAATCGAGAGACTGCGTTCAGTAGTCCTCCAGCAAAGTGTCGATGAAAAGAAGCTTCGAATGAAAATGGAAAAAGACATGATTGAATTGCAAGATCAATTGAAGCTTGCTCAAAATAATTTGACAAAGCAGGCTGTTGATTACGCAAAGGAAAAAACACGCTGTGAGACATTGGAAGCTGAAATGACGAAGCTTCAGCAGATTGCAGACGAAGCTAAACAGGAAGTAGAATGTCAGAAGCAGGTTTAATTCTTTCCTATCAATTTTAAATAGTTAATTGTAGAAATGTAACCTCAGTCTTTGTGTTCCTCCCTCCCTCTCGATTCCTTTGTCTTTATTTTTGTATTTGAGTTACATTCGAAACGAATTGAATTATTATAATTGATAGAACTGTGTCATCATAAAAATGACATGTATTTCCCAAATACTGTCTCTTCACTTGCATGGTTAATTGCCTTGATTAATTAGTGTTCTGCAAACATGAGAAATAAGCCCCTCGATCATTTAATTTCCTCAATTGAAGGAATATTGTTTAGTATATCTTTTCTAGATCTCCGAAGAGCAATTGGCTAAAGCACATGCAGTCAATGAAGTTGCGTTAAATAAACGAGATCGCACTATTCGTATATTGCTAAAGAAACTGAAATCGGCTGATGCTGAAACGTCTTCCAATTCCAAAATCGTGAGTTTATTCAAGAAAAATTATTTTGTGGCTGAAATTCTAAATATTATTTAAGGAAGGAAACAGTTCGTCTCCACTGCATCATGATGTTCCGAATTTGAATCCTTATGCTCAAACAGTACTGGATCAAATCAATAAGGTTCATGCTTTTTTATTAGCGGCATTATCTGTATCTGTATCGCAGCATGAAAGTAGTTGAAATAAATAAATGTCCTTGTCAGTTTTCTGTTACTTTTGCACTTCTGACTGTGTCTAAAATTGCAAGGTTGCAATGAAGAGCATCATATGAATATTTACAGTTTACTATCGAAAACGATGCTATTCGAAAGAAAGTGATCGAATGGGGTACCATAAATATCGGTCTAACATCGGAGATTGAATCTAGCGAAACGCCATCCGCAGAGGATGAAAACTCGGAATGGAATACGAAGCGCTGTGAACGTGAGGTGGGAAGCTCTGTTTTAGTTACCGAAAAACATTGAATTTCATCAACTTCTATTCGAAACACATATTTACTTCAGATTATCGGCTATCAGAAATTTAACGAAGTCATTTGTTTAGGTCTGATTTCCGGACTATAACATGTCTAAAAGAATTAATTTTAAAAATGGGAAAAAATTAATTAATAAAAATAAAACATTCATTTGATCGAATACAAATTAAAGAAAAAGCGAATTCGTAGTCCAACAGTAAAATTAGAAGACTGGCAGTGTGATTCAAAATTTTTTTTTTTTCAGAATGAAAAACTGGCAGTATTCCTAGCACAAAATAAAGCTATTCCTGATGGTTTAAATGAAGAAGAGCTGGGAGAACAGCTTGCACTCTTTGATGCTGTTAATGGTTCTGAAGGAAGATTATCGAAAGTGCAACAAGATGATACTGCGCGAAGTATAGGAGCATCTGAAATGGTATAAATATTGGCAGTATTCTTGGTTTATATTTTTTTTCTACTCAGTTAATTTTCCAGTGATTTCTTACTCATATGTATTGAAAGAAAAAAAAGAAAAAACTTTTTAGTTGGACATAACGTCGGTAGCTGATCTTTTGAGCAAGTCTTTGGTACTGACGGAAGATATTGGTGAAGTAAAGAAAAAACTTTCGGTTTTGCAGTCTGCTTGCACTCGTCTCTTCGAGAAATTGCGTGGTACGGCTAACTTTTTGCAGGTTGGTTAAGTCTTGTCTACCAACAGCATATGTAGCTGGTTGATTAGATGAATTACTTAACAGCTAATTTCTGTTTTTTTCCTCCGAATTCAAGCGTAACCTTTGCACTGTTTTTGTGTTTAATGATGGCATTGTTTTTGTTCACTGGCATTGCATCAAAGTGATATTTGGCAATTTTTTTTTTTCAACATAACTTTTTCAGACTCTTCTTGATGAATTGGGTGCAGGTGATCGAGGCAGAGAACTACTAGACGAGATAGAAGCGCTTCGCATCGATCTTGATCATTCACTTGCAACGGCCATTGATATTAGCCGTGATGTTGAAGGTATTTCATATACAGAGCGTTCTTTGAAAATACATCTGTTCAATAAAGCAAAAATAAATATGTGAAGTTATTTGGTAATAAAAATCATCAACGCCATTGCAGCCTCAAATTAATTTTGATTATAAATTTTATTAATTTCAATATTGGTATGCATGTTCATTTTGTAGCCGCAGAAGAAAGCATCGGGAATTTGTCGACTCATTTGCAACGTTCTTTATTGAATTGTTCGTTCGGTATGTCATCAGTACCATCCAGTGAAAATCAACAGGTTTCTTTTTCAAAGTTTTAACTGGTTTCCGGTGATAGTACTAGTATGTCTTGTTAACTGAATGAACGAAATTCTGTTACAGAATGCATCATCTCTTTCACGAGCTCACAGAGCCTATAGACGATTAAATGCGGACTTAGCAAACGAAAAGATGAAAGCAAATGAAGCTACTGAACTTAATGAAAAGCTACAAGCACATGTTACTGACTTGGAAGAGTTAAAGCAGAAACTTATCAATGAGCTGGATGAATTGAGGAGAAATTTGGTAAAAAAAGAAAATGAAATGATTTCATTGGTGAAAGATATGGAAATACAACTTCAACACAAAAATCAGCAGTACGATGAGCTGCACGGAAAAATGGAAGAACTTCAGCAAAGACATAAAACGAAAGAAATTCTTGCTGCAGAGAGAGAAGCCAAAATGAAACAACTAACAGATCAAATGACAGGAAAGTGTCACAAACTGGAAATTCAAGTTGCGGAAGTTACTCACGCTCTGAAAATGAAAGATGAATCGATCAAGGTGACTTGCTTAATTGCTTAATTTCAAGTTGTATATTTTTATATTCTAATACCACTACACACGACCAAAATTCATTACTAAATAGCATCGTTTCTCGTCTTTTCTGTGGTTCATTCATGATTGCAAACTATTTTTATGCAATCATAGAAGCATCATTATCGTTTACTTGCGTTGAATTATATGTTACTATGTCTTGAAATGTATCGTTCTTGCATAGTGGGTATCGATTTCTTTGCTAAAATAATGTCACATATCGAGAATTTTATGTACTATACATTTTAGGAAGGAAAAGAGGGGTATTCAAGTATTCCCGAAAATTATATATTATAAAATCAAATTTTCATGTCTTCTCTCATCAGCTTCTGTTTTCAGAAACTTCTAATTGATATTGAAAGTTATAACGACCAACTGTTATCGCGTAACAACGAATTGACTCATTTCAAAAATGTAAGTTTCTTGTTTTTCGTGTTGTTTATCGAATATATCATTTTTTGAGAAAATATATCATTTTTACATGCAGGAGATTATTGGATTAGACAACAAAATGTGTGAATTGATTGGTACTGTAAAAGCAAGTTTGGGAATTGTTGAGGAACAAGTTGACAAACCGATTATAGAAGCAGCAAATACAGAAATAGCAGCATTAACTCAGGTAACTTAATTGAGAACCCGCTGTGTATTATTAAGAAATAGGCACTGTTTTTTTGTACTTCATTTTTTAGTGAGCAAATCTCTAATAATGTTTCACTTTGCAGCTTTCCCAAATCGGAGCAGATCTTGAAGAATTAACTAAAGTCAGTCATTATATTGCTGACTTAAAAAATCAAATGATTAAGCTTCAACAGGATTTGGATCTGTGTGAAAGAAGTCGTAATGCCATCAGTCTTAAATGTCATGGATTGTCTGATCAAAATACTTGTCTTGAAGTAAGTGAAGTAAGACAGTACATTCATCAGTTTTATAATGTCGAAATATTCTTTATTGCTTTAGTTATTTATAGTTAATGGTGCTGTTGCAATAACTCTGTGCAAAAAATCATAAATTAGGTAATTGGCGTTTCTTTGTGTCCCGATGTTCGTCTTCTTCGGTTTTAATTTGCATCATGCGCAGTTTATTCTTCTGTTCAGATCGATTTAGTAAAAAAAGGGGATGCAGTTTTTTCACTGACATTTGAATATCTTTTTCAAAAGGTTGAAGAGAGTAGCATCATCGTACGTTGTCCCTCAAAAGACATTTGCTTTTTTATTTCAGGCAGAGCGTAATGAAGCCAAGCAGAAGTTATTAACTCTTCAGCAGCAAGTGCAAATGGAGAAGGAGTCGGTTAAAATGATGGAAAGAGATTTACAACGTTTGGAATCTGAAAATAGTTGCGTCAAAGAAAATGTAAACCATATTTTTCTAGTACATGATTTCTATTGCATTAATAATCTTTTCATTGATCATGGTTTCTTTTCTAGAATGAAAGATTAACGAAGATGTTGGTGAATGTCGAAGCAAAATACGAAGAAATGACCTCGAAACTAAATCGCAGTTCCCTTTGCGAGGGACAACATTCTGAACGATATACAGTGGTGAGTAATATAGGACAAGATTTTCTTTTTTTTTGCTGATTTTTAGGTAGCTTGAATCTTTTCAAGGAAATTATAGATGACATAAAATTTTCCTGAATCTTTAAGGATTTCGATGATGCAATCACATTTAGTAATTTTTTAGCAAGATTTTTAACTTTAATAAAACATGAATGTAAATATGATACAAGACGTTCCATTATTCCAGACAATTGGTACTATGACTCTCTTGTCTTCGGATGATTTTATTGAACTAACGGATAAAGCAAAAACGCTCTCCTCATTTACGAAACGAATGTATTCGCTTGCAGCGAGATGGAATGAGGAGGCTGCGGTTACTCCCAGGTGAACATTTTCAACCTTATGAACTTTTTTTCTTCCAGCAAGAATTTGCAGCCTCACTCTTTATTGTATGTTTTTGCGGCACTAGAATTATTTTTCAGTCACGAAGTTGTTTTGAATTTAATTAAATCAAATCAGGGATTCAGCAGTTGTAATTCTGAGTTGAATTATAATATTTAAACAATAATGAATGGTATAATCCTCGATGTAGAGCATAAATATTTAGGGTTTCATATAAATCGGTCGATCTAGATCACCTTTACCACACATATTCCCGAATTTTGAATCGCTTGTCAGATGGACTCAATGAACTGCGAGACAAAATAATCTCGGATAAGGTCAAGCTGCAGTCGATTATTTCTGATGAACAACGAAATTCTCAACAGTAAGTTTTCGTATTTTTTTTTATTAGATCACTCGGTTATGTAAGTTGGTATGAAGGGAACAAAATGGTTCAAATGCAAAGCCTCCTTCACATTAGAATAGGTTGCAGTTTGTAGCATTTTTGTAGCGAGCGACAAATAGGTCAGCCTCTACAAAAATCGAATAAGTTATCTGTGAACCTTGTTTATGTAAGGAATTGTAACCTTGTTTATGTTTATGTAAGTTACTTAACATTTTTCAGGACTAAAATTGAAAGTTCAAGGTCGAATAACGATGAATTGGATGCTTCCTCCTTCATCATTGTAGATGGATCACAAAATGGTAAGAACTATTTAAAATAAATCTCACACAAGTTAATAAGAGGAACTGTGATGAAATTGGTTTTTTTAGAGCCACTATCTATTGACCTGAGAACACTATTCAGTGATGCTGATCGAATTGTTCAAAAACTGAAGGCTATTTCATATAGACTAGTAAGTTTTGTTTCTGCGTGCTAATATTATTTTTGGCGAGAAGAAAATTTTTCCTTCACTGGAGTACTCATATTTCACTAAAAATTCATTCAAGAACATTTCAGCATAATGCAGAAATATTGGAATTGCTGTCGAATATGAGGTCGTTGCGGTTTCAAATTGATTGTCTGTGTAGGAATGCTCGGCAACTTGAGAAAACTAAAGAAAACGTTGCTCCGGTGATTTTCTTTCCTTGAAGTCTTTGTTTTTTTAGACAAAAGAAGAACTCTTTTTCAAGCATATTCATGATCTCTTTGCTGACCGTACTGGCGATGAATTTACATACCTATGTTCCACTCTTTTATTTTTTTCATAGTTTCTCCTTAGTTTCTTCAAAATTGCTTATTACACATTTAATCCGAAATTGTTCAGATGGAAGCACTTCAATTAGAAAATGATCGTTTGCAAACAGTACTTATCGATGCAAAGATTTTGTTGCAAAGAGCTCATGAACGGCTGAGTAAATTGGTGGGTTTTAATTAAAAATTTTTTGCTTTTTCGCAGTGTTAATATATTTGGAATATATTTTCCTTAAAATTTTTGTTTTTTGGGGAGAAGACAAATTCTTTTGTAAACATATTCATAATTTATTTGTTGACCATACTGCAAAATGAATTTACATGCTCTACTTTTGAAAAATTTTCTGTTTTTCCAACAAAAAAATGTTTTTATTTGAAAACTAAAAATTCTCAAACGCTGGAAGGTCATGATTTGCAAAAAAAATCGAAATTTATTCTGAAAATTTAATTTCAAATGCAACAAAATTAGTTGCAGCCTAATTCGAAGGACATGTGCGAACAGATATTGCGTGAAATGAACGAGATTAGTAAAGCAATGAAGGCAACAACGCGCGAGGTACACCGTGTAGGAAGCCGTTCACGAGGTCCAATAGGTGCAAAAAGCTCCAAATAGCTTATCTTTATCAGATCTCATTCATGAATTCATTCTCCATAGTTGCCTTGATCTCTATACCTATTATTTGTCGATTACATCTTCTTCCTTGACCGAAAGCCTTATAGTCAAATTTCTTCTGTATTTCTCTACCTCTAGTTTATATATGTTCACAAAAAGATAGGTGGCAAAGTGAAGGACTATCAGTGTTGCAAATTTCTTTAATGAATTGTGAGTGAAATCCACACGTTCACATTTTACACAATTTATAAGGTGCACGTTGCTGAGTTGCTTTCAGATTTCCATTATTTGAGTAAAATATTTCTGCATAGTCGGGCCGAATTGGTTACCAACAGTTTCAATTGAGTTAAAAGGAAAACATTTGCCATTCAGAAGTTGTGCCTTTCACATTTTTAGTAATGTTTTCAAATTTGTTCCACGGCCATCATCCATTACTGTCACAGAGCCATCTAGGTTAATTGCTATATGAATAGATTTGTAAAAGCTTTGCGGATACCCCTTAGGCTGGAGGTTACCTAAACTAACTTCATTTAAATAACTTATTTACCAACCAAGGTGGTAAACTTGGATAGTAGTGTTTCCTGCGGAATAATTTTTATTTCAACACTCAGTAAGACTTTTAAGACATATATACAGGCTATATTAATTGCTGAATATCTTCTTAAGATGGTTCCTCGAGGTGGTCATTATTGGAATAAGTTTGTTGAGCCAAACACAGTTGTTGATATTTTATTTACCCAAAGAGTACAAGGATTTTTGGATTTATTAAGGATGTGGAATACTTAAAGAGTAATGTCTTGGCTAAAGACGCTTCCCTCGATAATGCGATTGCTATAGACGAAGGTATATTAAACATGTATCTAGCAGGGGCTAGAATTAAAGGTAAGGTAAAAATAGTTAGACAGGATACCAACTAAATAATCTTTTACTCCACAAAATTTTTGAAATTAAAAACGATAACTAAAACCATTTCTTCAGCTGTATAACTTATTTCTATTGTAAAAAAATCAATGCACGCTATCATTTCTCTTAAAACTAGTTTTTGTGCATGAATTTAGGCATTTTTATTTTTATTTTTTTTTTTGCTAGACATTATGATATTAAAGTTCAGAGGTTTTCATTAGACTTCGGACCAGCTTTGTTCAAGTATAGAGATGAAAAAGATAATGGATTTTATCAGCAATGTCGTAGGGAGGCAGCTTTATAGCATCCAGGCTTTGTTGACCTAGAAAAGATGCGTAATATGGGTAAAGGAAAAGACAAATCTTTCTATCGCAAATCTTTAAAGCAACAGGCCTTAGTGGTCTTTGCAGGGCCTTTGGCCAATTACATCTTACTTTTTTATGCGTTGCTGCGGTTCTTATGATAATTGGCGTACCAACCTTAGATCTAAAAATTAATGCAATACAAGAGCATTCAGTAACCTCCTCCATAAGCTTGGAACAGAATAATAGAATAATAGAAATAAACAATCAGGAAATTACCAATCACGAAGGATTTAAGGTGTGAATTCTGAAGAAATTTGCTTAAAATTTTTAATGGATAACCAAGAATTTTTCATTCAGTTTAAATTACGATTTGAGGAAAACCGTACTCGGATTTTAGGAGTCATTTTTCGAACTAGGATTGAGAATGCGACTATTGTAAAAGCGCTGACCAATAGTGCTAAGCATAGATGTTTCGTGTTGAAAGCGATACTTGCAGGAATTTTTGATATACTAAGAGGAGAGAGTGGACTTGAAAATATTGGTAGTCCTATTAAAATTGCCGATTCTAAAGCTGCTTCCCAAAGCTTTGATTCCTTCATTTGATTTATTGCATTGATTTCACTTATACATTTTTTATGCCTTGTATTAACTGTTGTTAAATGATCTGAGCTATTAAAACCAGCAATTAACTCTAAAGAGGCTGCAACAGACATCTGTTGGACTTGAAATATTTTCTGGTTTAATTGTCAGTAAACAATGTCACAGGGTCGGTTTCTTTATCTAAAATAATTCCCAGTAAAACAATTGTGGACATGATGAAAGCTCATTCTGCTGATACTAGGAAATGGGAGCAGCAAGAATAGCTTATAATAATTGAAATGAAAGCATCAAATTTTTTGGTGTTAAAGGAGCGAGCATTAACTTCTATTCTGGATAGATGTTTAACAGAAAAAAAAGAAAAATATTATCCCTGCTGCGATATGCATTCCAGAAATTGCTATTGAATACGCAGTGCCCGCAACTCTCATTGCTTCAAAGTCTTGTTCTGCAATTTGGGAGGGATAGTGATAGTAGGCTTTGATACAGTATCACCAATAGCTATAATTTTTTTGAAGTGTGAAAAACACTGCACATCGAATGCTCCAGGAAAAGCAGGAAAAGGGTGGAGGCATTACTATACAGTAAATACTAATTCTTGCACCAACCTCTAAATCTTTATTGTTATTCCTAGTTGTTATTTTCACTCTATTTCATTGGTCTGTTGCATCTGTTTTGATATTATTTAAATAAAGCCTTTTTGTCCTTTTTTTATCTTCTACCGCTTCTTATATTGAAAACAATGTGGATCTTAGACATATGGCTAGATATAAAATGTCAAATTATACCAAAAAAATTGTTTAAAAACTTTATTCATATAACACAAAACAGTTATCGCTAGTTTAACATAACCGCGGTGTATTATGTACTTTTTCATTTTCCAATACAAAATGAGGAAAATATCTGATCAAGAATTTGTTCGTTCACAATTGTACCTGACATCTCGCTGATATAATCCGACACGTCGCGTAACAATTCTGCTACGACGGCAACATCGTTGACTTCCAATGCCTTGAATAATTACAAGTGAAGAAATGACAAGAATTTCACGCCCAAATTGCAATGAAAGTTATAGTTACTAACCTCTATCCCAACAAGGGTGTGTGCGAAAATGCCAAAGGGATGTGTGAAAATTACTTTATTTGAAAAGTATGAAGACGAAGAAACTTGACTGACTGCACAAACAGGAGAACTGTTTTCTAATATTTCGCATTTGAAAAGAAAAAGAAAAAACAAAGGGGGCTCAAAAAGATTAAGCAAAATACCTTTCTAAGGACAAGAATGGTTTCTTTTAATAGCAGCCGGTGAGCTTGACTACTGACAAGAGTGCTATCATCGGATACTGGACAGAGCTCACTGATATGCTCACAAATAATTTCTAGCTAAAACTAGATAAATTAAAACTGAACAAAAACGGTGAACATTACCCACAGACCTAGATGAATAGATGAACGTGCCATCATTAGAATATTGCTTTCTTACTACTACCATTAAATTTGTTGGGATATATTTTCAATCAGGTATTGGAAAAAAAAACGATTAAGATAATTACATACAACTATGATTAAAATTACAAACTAACCAATGAACTGATTCCTTCACCGGAAATGCATGATATGTTAACAGCAGGCCATGGAAGAACTATATTATTCGGAACGTTACATATATCGCATTTGTTCAGAGCAACAAAAACAGGTGTCTCTTTTTTGAGATGACACCAAGAAAGCACTGAGCGCACATCCGTTTCGAAATCCTTGCACATACTACTGTCTATCACTACAATCGCAATATCAGCCTCCGCCGCTCTATAAATGGATATTTTTGTGGTTTCACATTATATATAATTTTTCCTTAATTTTACAATCAAACAGATTATTTATACAACTATTTATATTTATACAAATTATTTATATAAGTTATTTATATTTGTAGAAATTATTATTTATATTTATACAGGTTATTTATACAAATTATTTATTCTCGGACTATTTATACAAACTTATGTTCCAACTAATGTGTATTACCTTAAGTGTATATTTAGTCGCGCAATTTTTTTAATGTAAAATTCTATTAGTCTTGACATACTAGATCATGAACAAAATAGAAAACAAAAAAGTAACCGGCTGTATAGGACATTATGATATAACTACCTGTTATTTCGAACCAACGAGAGAAAAAAATTTTCGTGATGAAGCACCTTTAGTGGTTATTTTCACAAGGCCTGAGGTAAATCACAAGACGGGGGAAGTAAAATTGTGCTTGTAAAATAATGTTCATGCATAAATGACCCATTATAACCATAGTGTGTTAGAACAGAAAACTAGACAACCTTCTCAGTGTTCTCCGAATGCCCTCAGCTTCAAGAGAATCTAAAAGAATTTCACGAATTCCTGCAGTATCGACAATGGTCACTGGGATAGAAGAAAGTTGAATTGTTGCTTCTAATGAGTCACGAGTTGTTCCCCCAATATCTGACACTATGGCCATGTCCCGGTTCGCTATAAATATTTAATTCATATATATAAAAATTCATTTTTCAAATGAATCTTGAAAAGGCTGAATCAAAGATTACCCATACGATTGAATAAGCTGCTTTTTCCAACATTTGTTTGTCCCAAAATAACGATCCTTAAGCCTTCGTTAATCAGCATTCCTCGATGCATCTGTTCTTGGATATTGCTCAATTCACTAATCATTAAACTGATTACGACACGAATGTCTTCCCACTGAAACCAAACATCATCGCCAAAATCAATGGATGCTTCCACGGAAGCACGTACTTCAATAAGCTGCTTTCTTATGCCTTCTATCGCTTTATCTGCAAAAGATGATGTTATCGCTGTATGGCCACCACTATCAGTAATTCTGAGTATCAATAACTTACTTGCCTAAAGTGTTCATGCGCAAAGCTAAGCGTCGCTGACGCTGCGTTTGTGCAGCCAAGAGATACGCAAGCGATTGTACTTCCTGCAATGTCATCTTTCCATTGAAAAATGCCCTACAAAAATTGAATTTAAGATTCAGAATTATACAGAAGAACCAAAACATTCTTGGTCATATCAGAGAGTTTTTTAAAGTGATTTTCACTGTGGGTACAACCAGAATGACATCAGGTCAACAATAAATCAAAGAAAGTCAACCATTTTATCTCACCTTTTCGTAAATTCGCCAGCCCTTGCGAGTTGCACGTTATCAAACTGCCCCAGTGCCTGCAACAAACAGTCAACAACTGCTCGACTACCGTGCACATAAAATTCAGCCACATCTTCCCCAGTTGATGTTTTCGGACCTAAATGATATTAATTATTGACCTGATGTCATCGTCGTCCACATCAGGGAATTTTTTAAAGTCATTACTTACGCCATTAGTTTACGGAAAAACTTCCACTGTGGGTACAAGCATAAGTTATTTGAGTACAGTCACAATTTATAGCGTTTATTACTTCTATCACAAATTTATAGAGTTTCGATGTTTTCAGTTTTTTAAAGTAAAACACCCATCACACTCAACAGAATGAATCCATGAAACATCAAAGAGCACAGCAAAAAATTTTTGAAAAAATGCTTTCAGCTGGAAAATAAAGTGGCTAACATGATTACAGAAAACCCTTGTTCTTCAGTAGAATATGCAAGATACTTTTTAATGAAGCGACCTGGTAAAAAAACCGCCATGCCTCGATCAATAAGCTCTCCATCTCGCCGAATATTCGCGTAGAATAATTGCCTAGGCAGAATTTTTTTTCGACCCGTGAGCTGCTCTAAGCATCGCCGACTTTCTTTTCCTATTTTAACAGAAAATTTGTGAGATTATATAAGAGTATCACAAATAAATACTCTAAAATATTGAAAAAAAATTTAGAAGATTAAATGGACCAACCGGAAACTCGGATAACTGATATGGCAGCAGGTAACGCACCTGAACTCACAGCAAATATGGTGGAAAAACGCTTCAGATATCTTAATGCTGCGTATGCCTCAAGCATTTCCTTATATGACAGACCAAAGAGGTTGTAATAAATCGCTGACAGAAATATTTTTCTTGAATACCCAGAATGATTAATTCAACCGAAAACTGCTAGAATTGAGCAATGTCACTTACGCACAGAAAATTTCAGAATCCTATAGCTAACGAGTGGAATGAAAAACCAAATTTACTATATTTGTGAGGGATATCCGATATTCGTCGAAGCAACTAATTCTAAAAGGCAACACAGTAACGGTAGATAAATAACTATCACCATTAATACTACTACCACTTTTATTAGTATATCCTTACCGTAAAAAATCACCAACATAATTGGATAAAATTTACCAGCATTTTCAATTATAAAAGGCTGAATATTACAAATATTAAATGTTCGGCATACAAAATAAAAAAAAAAAAAAA